GCGGCAAGGCTAATGTGATACTGGAGCATGGGAAAAGCAAATCGATATACAGAGTGGTATGTATATAAATCGAACATTAATGAAAAAAAAGGGTCCTGGAAACTGTACAGGTCGGACTATACACATCAACTCTATAATTCACGTAGACACATTGAGTTGGACTCCGGGAACGTGGAAACCGGGATTCTTTGGCCCTTACTCCCTATACACACAAAGGGAGCAAGCAAGCAGGGAGAGGAGATAAAACCATCTCGAGACAAAACAGAGAACCGTGGAATCCGGAGAAGATCAGTTGACGAACTTTTTCCGGATCGGATGCGACCTGCGGACCATCGACTCGGGCCCGACCAGGACGGTTTTGTCCGGAAGGGTGCGCACGGAGAGCTCGACCGCCGCCTCCGTGTCGCCCCAATAATCCCGCCGTTGCAGGGTCAGATACCCGCCGGTTTCGCGGTTAACCTCCTTGTAGTTGAGGCCGAAGCGGAAGTACCGCTTGATGCAGAAGTTCAGAACGGGCCAGACCGGGTTGTCCCGGCTCAGCAGCTTCTGGGGGCCCTCCCGGGGAGCTTCGATGAGGTCGGCGAGGACCCGCGCTTTCATCGGTTCGGATTCTTCTTCTGGCTCTTCTTCTGACTCGAACTCTGACTCGGGCTCTGACTGTAGTGTTGTTGACCTTGGCTCTAAGTCCGGCGGCTGCGTTGTTGGCTGATCTTGATCGCGATGAAGAGGATCCAGGGCGTCGTCGACAGACCGGTTCGTTGCCGCCGCTCTGGCCTTGATTCTTTTCTCCAAGTAGTTACCCTCGAAGTAGTCCTTTATTTGTGAATCCTCATCAAAGAACGATTCAGCGGTGCCGTGGTCGTCATTGTGACTTCTGTCTTCTTGCACTCTGTTCTTGGCGTTGTATTCTTTCATCGCTGCCCGTAGGATGACCCGAATGGTATTCAAGTTCGGGATCACACACTTTTCCTGCTTGCCCCAGAAGTATACTGGGTCGAAGTGGGGGTCGGCTCGTTCGAGAATGCGTTCGGAGTGTAGGTACATGCGCGGGATGCCGCCCTCACGCGTCCTGACCGTTTCCGGTGAGGGGATGTCCAAGCAGGTCTTGAAGTAAAGGTTCATGCCCGCGGCGCTGCCTTGCGTGTCAACGACGGCTTCGAGGATCTGGTGGAACGCAGTCGAGGGAATGTAGGGGATCAAAGTGCGCGAAGCGACCTTGAATTTTAGGTGATGTGTGCTGGAGGCGGCGATATTACGAAGGGCAGGGGAGTCTACGAAATTGAGGAAGACGCGGTGAAAACTCGCGAGCACACGTGGTTGGAAGTCCCGGCTCTGGACGGGGACAGCGCTGTTCGATAGGACCGAGCTCCGGCGTTCGCTGAACTCTCCAGCAAATAAGCGGCCGAGGATTGCCTTCGCCGTGCCCAGAGAACTGACGAGGTTGGCGTGCCTCCGTTCACAGTCTGTACCGAGGCGTTCCCAATCTTCTCCTAACTCTTGGAGCGCGTGTTCCAGACGGATGATCTCTGCTGCTAGGGTGGCAACGTTGCTGTGGCCCCAGGACTTAAGGCGGTGGTCGCGAAGGTACTCGAGCAATAATACCACTGAATCCCAGTGGCCTTGCACGATGCGGTAGTTAAGAAGGGCACGCAAGGTGTTAGTTGAAAGAGGCTGCTGAAGAGATCCAATAACGGATTCAGCAAGGACTTCGTTCTTTGTGGCGGCGGCGAAGCGAAGGATAGATGGCGCTATGTTCTGGTTACCGTACACGTCCTTTGAGATGGCAGGCCTTTCGACGTCTGTAGCAGAGAATAGCCACTCAGCCGACTCGTAAGCCCGTGATGCGGTGAGCAAGTCGAGCAGTTCGGCCAGCGTCACACTCGACAGATGCGGCATGGGTGACAAAGAAGAATCAAGCGAGTCCCCAGCGCCTATAGCTTCCGAGTCAGAGGATTTGCCTGTCCGCTGCTGACTGCTTTCGTCTTCTATTTCCTGCAGCCAGGCAAATGTCCTCAAGGCCTCCCCGGACCGTCGCAAGGACGAAGAATACCTAAGGGTGTATTCGAGCAGGCCAACTGGCGCCAGAGTTTGATTGTAAGAATCCCACTGACGATAGCGCTTGAGTTGTTTTTTATCCGTGTCTTGCGTATAGGGCGGTACCCAAGGCGGCACTACAGTCGATGCGGCCTTGAGGAGGTCAATAAGACAAAAAGGGTCCTTTTGGGCGTTGATCCCTCCAGATGATAGCACCCGCATGAGGAAAGTATTAAAAGTCCTGGTTGTCGCAAGCAAACGTGTCATCCTCTGCGAAGCGAAAATGAACTTTAATGTGAAAACACAGGACACCATGCGACTGGGTGACATGCCTCGGAAACCGGTCCCTAGATATGCCAGGTTTGGGAGACTGTGGAACAATGCACAAACGACTTCCTCGCTAATCGTTCGCTCACCCATCCCGACAAAGGGAGTCAGGTCAACCCTGTTCTTGGTGTAATTTTCCATAATCCGCGTGTCGAGCACTCCAGGGTCATGTGGCCGACGCCATGTGCTTTCCATCTCGATATTAGTCTTCCAGACTCGTGCGGACTTGTCAAGCATATGTATCTTGTTCCAGTTCTTGGCCGTCCAGCGGTTGTCGCTCGACTGTCTCTTCATTCGCTCTATTAGCCACACCCCCTCTTCGATGAAGCCTTGCTCGACACAGCACCAGAGAATCAACTCCATCCAAATTGATGGTCCTAGTTCACGGATGACCGGGTTAACTGAAATGAAGGGTGATTCTTGGCCTGCTGCAGCAGCCTTGTCAGCCATGTCTGCCTCGTACTCCATCCACGCAGCATCAGTCAGAGCTTGCATAATCGAGGACTTGAGCAAAGACATCCCTGGAGGCCGAAATGAACTCTGGAATCGCAGGGGTGGAGTCCAATCGTAAACCCGGTCGGATATAGCGCCAGACGTATGCAGACGGGCAAGAGTGCAAAGAACAACCGACATAGCCAACTTGGCCTCATTGGGGGATGCATCCGCGGCGTCTAGTACAAGGGCACCCAGCGATTGCCATATCTGCGCCAGAAATCGCTCATTCAATTCGGCAGCAAAGGGCCTGGCGGTACTGTGCCTCAGCGGAATCAATTTCGGGTCATTTGACGCGCCGCGGTTTGTGGCCGGCGCAGCAGGAGGCGCAGAATCCACAGCTCGACTAGAAAGCTCATCAAGCGTTGAGTTTGGATCCAGCGCCCAATGCACACCGGTTGATGGCCGCGAGCGCCGCGAGAAGTCACTGGCGGCTTCGGAGGCGTCAAGAAGACGACCTAAAATGAAATCCACAGCAGCCCAATTGTTCAACCGGAAGCCAAGATAAGTCAGCAGGTCCAAATGTCGATGTTTTCGGGCTCGATATAGCGTGTTTGTCATGTCGACAGCTTCTGCAAAGGATTCCTGGGCCATAGACGACGAATCGGCGGAGGAATGATCCGGACTCTCCTCCGTCTCCTCCCCATTGTAGTCTCTGCGCAACGGCGGTGGCAAATGCTCTTCCAGCAGTGCGAGCCAGCGTTCATTGGGGTCGTGTGCCTTCTCACTTATTTTAGGCTGCCTCATCTTCCTCATCCCCTGGGTACTGATAAACTCATAAGTGAAGGCTGTGCTGTCTGTGGCGAAGCGTTGGTAAATCCCACGTCGCCGCGACGCGGAGGAAGCCCAGCGCGAGCTGGGAGGGCGAGAGGCATGGGTTCCGCAGAAATGACCGATCGAAGGAGGAGAGGTAATTCGAGAAGGCCCATGATGCGAGCGCAGCGGACGAGCTGAGGACAAGCACCTTTTCATGACACGATAGTGGTACTAGCGGAGGTGGCTTACGGGCGGAGAAAGTCCAAAACTCGAAGTGACCGTTGAACGAGTGTTCTGTGACGCATGTCTAGTCACAGGGACCAGGTCAAATGTATACCATGAAACAAGAGCCGACTGTAGTATGTGGGAAGTTATTCTTGGGGAGACAATAAAGAGACGGACCCGACGACGAAATAAAAGATTCTTTGAAAGCTGTTGGCTCTGGGGAGAAGTTCCTGGCGGAAGGAACTTTTTACAGATAGAAGGCAAAGCAGCAACTGATAGCTAGATGCTGACTCAGCTGCAGGGGCCTAGTTATTTCATCCCCCAATCAGTGATGCGCCATTTACGAGTAACAATGCGCGATCATTCAGAATAGTTCAATAGCCTTGGACCTGATAGATGTACTGCACAGGCGATGAGGGAATTTGGCATTTCAAGATTCAGACAAGGATATCAAAGTACGATAGTGCCTTATGTAACAAATCAATAAAAGGGAATTTATGTATATGCAACCCCTAAAGGTAGATCAATGACTCGACTCGAACAGCGACCAGTGGCCAAAGGTATCAATGAAAACAAAAAGACAGAAAGACCAGACCCGTTATGAACCGACATGAACTTCAGAATAAGGCCCAAAAACTACAACAGAACCTACCAATAGCGCCCGAGAATCAGACCCCAAACAACCGAGTCCAGCTGAATAACAACAAACCCTATGGATTGAACAGTGTTTTCTCTCATGAATGTGAGCCTTCACTCTGGCTCAACCTGGCTCATAGCTCTTCGGTAGCCATCTCAATATCCTCTTCTTCAGCAAACTCCATATCACCTCCCAACTCTTGCTCGACTTCATCAACGACAAAGCTTTCGTAGTCTTCCAGTCCTTTCTGAACATGGACCTTGAAGCGAATAACATCATTCAGCATACTTTCCACATTTGTGTGTAGTTCTTCCCGTAGAGAGTTCGCGCGGAGCGTCAACTGTTCGTATTCAATGTTGGTATTCATCTCACGCTGCTCCATCAGTTGAACGCTTTCGCTAAGTGTAGCGCGCATCTTGGCCAGCTCTTTCTCCATCTTCTCAATCTGGGCATCCGACGCCAGCTTCTGAGTTGTGGTAATCTCTTTGAGCCTTTCGAACTCCTCTTCGGCAGCGCGCCGCTTGTGTTCCAAGGCTTCAACTTCGCTCCTTTTCTCGTCCATCGCCTCCTTGATGTTGTCCAGCAGATTGCGACGCTCCATATCATCGTCAATTGCGCGTTTCCGTCGTTCGTTGATGTCCTTGCGGAGAGACTGGAGATTACTACGAACGGCACCACGCAAGTCCAGGTTCAACAAGTGAGCCGGGTGGTATCCAGTGAAAGGTTCCGCAAGTAGTCGGTCTCCTTCCGGAGAGATTCTGTTCGGGAGACCACCAATTTGGGATGATGAGAAATTGCTCTCGTTGACATTGAGGCTCAGCTCGTATTCATCCCCCTTGGCGTTCACGGCAGAGGATGGGATTAAACTGTTTTGGTAGCCGAGAGTGTTGTAGGCCTTGACCACCTCCTCCAGGTCCTCTAGCTTCTTGCTTGCTTCGGCCTCCTTGGCCATCACCCGAGCATGCGTTTCTTCCAACCGGTTGACAGTGTCTTCAAGGTTTTTCTGCAGCCGCTCGCGCTCGGTGTTCATGCGGTCGATGTCTTGAATAGTCAGGCCCTGCTGGTCGACACTGGCCTGGAGCCCGGACCGTTCATCTTCCGCCGCTTGCAGGTCGGCTTCGGTCTTTTTGAGTTCGTCCTCCAAAAATTTGATGCGATTCTCGTACTTCTCGATTTTGCCCTGCACATTCTGGTTGTAATCTTCGAATTTCCTTTTGTCGTCCTCCAAGATGCGGAAATGTTTGTCCAGCTTGGCCATATCCGGGGCGTTCTTCTCCAACTCTTCAATTTGATCGCGTAGGGCCCGATTCTCAGCCTCGAGGACCTGCATTTCTTGCACATACTTCTCGTTGCCCTTCTCGAACTCCTGTGCCATCATCTCAACATGTGGAACAAGTCTCTTCTCTGCCGTTTCATCATCTTCCTCCTCCCCACCCTGAAGCCAATCATGGTAGGCGCTGGTAAGGAATCGGAAGATAATACGGTCGCCCGAGACGTCTACGCCCATTTCTGCGCAGGCCTCGTCATATTCCCCAAGAAGGAACCGGTCCATCATTTGCGCTAGTTGCATGAGCCAATGTAGCATGCCGAGGAAAGTGGGCCAGTTTTGACCGCCAACTGCTGCGATTTGCGACTTTGTGATGCCTTTCTCGTAGGGGTAACGCAGCTGCTTCAATATCGGCGGCACTTCCGCATCCATGCTCTTTTGAAATTTGTGGCCCGGGTCGATGCGATGATATAGCCACTGGAAGATGTAGTTGAAGTCTTTCTGGGTCGGTGACCGTAACGTGTTCTGGCCTAGTGAGTGCTTCATCTCAAGTTCAAAGTTGTTATGTGTCAGATACTCCAACAGCTCTTGGCCGATCCGCGCCTGGAAAGACCTGTCTCTGAGAGGTCTTGGGTCTCTTGGGACACCAGCTACTGTGGGAACCTGGGTGAAGAACGACTGATGCGCCATGGCGCCCCCCATGGACGGGCGTGAGAATACACTACTCCTTCGCTGTAACGCCTGTGCGGCCGCTGCATTGGATGTAATAGCTCCGGGAGCGAGGCTGGGGCGTCCCACGCTGGGTCCATGGAAGATATTGCTCGACACCGAGCGCCGGACTGACGAGAGACCGGCGTCTGCACCAAGACCCCCACCCGATGAAGATCGCTGGAAATTCGGCTGTTGCGGGCGACTGGCAGAGTTCATAATCGACATGGAGCGGGTGTGCTGTGAAGTGAAGGGAGGGTTCTGGTATCCAATGGAGCTGGTACGTTTGAGGGCGGATGAGGGTTGGGGAAGAGCGGAGTAGTTCTGAACGCTTCCAAGCGCCATCGACTAGATGTGGTAGTCAGCATCACTTTGAATCTGGGTTTTCTTGCATCCATGTAGGCACATGGAAGGTGCGACAAGTTGGGGCGCATACCTCACGAGGGCGCCTGATGCTGAACAGTCCGGTATCTTGCGACATGATGAGCAGGCAGCCGCGACTGCAGCAGTTGATTTGATACAATCACAAAATCGGCCCAAAGTACCAACCGGGGTATTCCAAGAGGAGTGAGACCCAGGACCTGAATTGATTGTGCAGCACGAAGCTGGAACACCAACTTCTACCGTCGGAAATGGAGGGAGATTTTGGACGAACAGCAGCAACCGAGCGGGCGGATGATGGATGTAAACAAGACATGCCACTTTGCTTGAAAATAGCAGGCGGTGAGCGGCCTGGGAACAACAGGAGAGCTGAAAGGTTGAACTAACCGGATCCGGACTGAGCCACTCTTTGGACCTACTCATACTAGGTGATAATCCATGATCACGGGCTCCGGCCATCTGGGGATACGCCGAATCCGCCGCGGTACCGGCTGTGATTAGTTGCTTTATTACGGAGTACAGTACCTCCTAGTACCGTCCTAGCCTCCCCTCCCCAACTTCCGAGGTCCAATTCCCTTTCCTCCACCTCCTCCTCCTACTAATTTTCCACTTCGCTTTCCGTCTCATTGTCTCTTTCAATTCTCACTCACTGCGCACCTTGTCGCTCGATAGACTCTCGTTTCGTCACAACCGAAACAGAGTCCCTGGTGGACCCGTCATCATGGTTCGCGAGGAGCTTATCTCGTCTGCTGTAGGTTTATTGCCTCAATCCTCATCTGTCATTTGCGGTTGCCGGAATCGGAGCTGACTCTCATCCTCAACATCATAGATCACCTGTAGGTACTCATCGACGCACTGCAATGCGATTTATTTTGCTGCGGACTCTAATTCGAAGATAGTTCTCCAAGATCCGTCTGTCGCCTCTTCGCCGATCGAAAAGCGAGTCGCATTCCTGCAGTCAAAGAACCTAACGAAAGAAGAGATCGATGTCGCTCTTTCGCGAGTCGGTGAAGATCCGGCCGCGGCGGCCGCGGCGACATCATCTTCGAATTATCAGCCTTCTTCTCAACAAGCAGTCTATCGACCACCTCCACCTCCACCACCCGCTCCGGTATATGGCTACCCACCGTATGGTCAATGGCAGCCCCCGCCAGAGTAAGTGGCTCTCCGCCACGGAGGATAGTTTCGGGAATACTAATTTCGTCGTCACGGCAGACCTCCAAAGCGGGACTGGCGGGATTGGTTTATTATGGCTACTGTTGTGGGTGGTGTCGGATATGGGCTGTACACTATCACGAAGGTCAGTTTTTCCGTATTTGACCTATAGCCGTGCTGCGGAAGGAGCTGACATTTATCAAGCGATATATCACACCCTTGATCGCACCCCCTACCCCACCACAGCTAGAACAAGATAAGCAGGATATTGATGAGCAGTTCTCCCGTGCATTTACGCTTATCGATCAACTCTCCACCGACACAGCCGCCCTGAAGTCTGCAGAAGAAGAGCGATCCGAGCGACTCGACGCTGCTCTCAGAGAGGTCGAGACTCTTGTCTCCGATATGAAGAACGCATCCCGTCGGAGAGACGACGAGACCCGCCGCATTAGCGACGAAGTTAAATCGTTGAAAGACGCCATCCCTAAGGCTATGGAGAGTGCTCGGGAAGGCAACGAGAATCGTTTGAAGGAGCTGAGCACCGAATTGAAGAGCTTGAAAGTTCTTCTGGGAAATCGACTTGGTGGCGGTGGTAGCGGCGCCAGCTCGTCCATCGCTGGACGGGCTGTGGGCGGCATCCCTCTTCCGACTGCTTCACGGCCAGCCGAGGAGTCGGCCTCTGCCTCTAACGCAACAAATGGATCGACTGCGGGATCGATTGAACAGCCATCGCAATCCGCTCAGCCGAGCCCGAGTGCCAGTACTGCATCCTTGGGCAACAACCCTCTTTCGCAGTTCGGTCGGTCTGCCTCTATTCCCGCTTGGCAGATGGCGGCTGCCAACCGATCCAAAACAGCCTCGCCGGCGCCATCGAATGCCGCCGACAACTCCGCCGCCACTACCACGGCCAGTGAGCCGCAAAGCGCCCCAGCTAGCTAGACAGTACCCTACACATTCTCATGTGAAGCTTTTTGTCATTTCATTTATTCCGAGTCCCCCGGGTAGGGCTGTCATTGATACCATGAAGATGAATATGATGCAGCGGTTGTACGTTTGGGAGTAACAGTCTCGCACTTGTATAGTAGACGCTGCATAAGAAGAATTTAGCATAAGAGACTCCAGGTCATGCCAAAATTGATTAGCGCAGAGCAAATAATGAACCGGCCGATACCGTACCCTCTAATTATCTTATCAGTGTAAATCGTGTCTAGTACGAATGAGTATGTTGTGTACCTCCACACTCTCCACCAACGCCGCCGCCTCGGCCGCCGAAGCTTGGCACCTTCAACTCCGCCATCCAACCCCCCCCCCCAACTTCCATCTGGATCAGCTTCTCTCACCCGCCCTTCACGGACAACATAAGCAGCCCAACACAATGTCTCCTCGAGATCACCATCGCGGTCGCACTGATCCAGTCTCCCGACCTCGCTCCCGCACCCGATCGCGCACTCGCTCCCCGGACACAACAGACCGAACAGACCGACACCGAAGCAGACGCCATCACCATCATCGCCATCGTCACGATGACCAACACGACGACCACCACCGTCGCCATACAGACACCCACCGCGACCGACACAACCAAGACGAAGACCGAGACCGAGACCGTCACCGCCGGCACCGTCAGCACCATCATTCCTCTTCCCACCGCACCCCAGACACAGCGCAAGCAACCCGAGCGCCCCGAGTCCTCCCTTATGGATCGCGCGAACTCACCAAACACGACCTAACCACCTTCACCCCGCTCTTCGCCATGTACCTCGACATCCAGAAAGGTCTTTATCTTGAGGACCTCCCGGAAGACGAAGTCAAGGGTCGCTGGAAGAGTTTCATTCGCAAATGGTACCTAGCGCTCCTCTCGTCCCGTCCCGTCCATGCCTGCTGTTCTATACTTTAGCTTGGCAAAAGCACACTCCACTTCCCCCTTTGCCCAGAAATCACATGGGAGCAATAAACCTCTAAGACTAACATATCAGGAACCACGGCGAACTAGCAGAGGGATGGTACGATCCCGCAATGCTGGAGCGGGCCCGGTCAAATCTCGACGACGCTCCTCGTCCCCCTCCTGCAGGCAAAGGACCGCAATCCTCCACCCCCACCGCCCACAACCAACAAACTGAGCGTCATCATTCCGAACGAAATCGCCAGAGCACCGACGACAACAACGAAGACAATGAAGAAGACGATTACGGCCCCACCCTCCCCCAATCCGACAAATCACTGTCCGGGCCCACGATCCCCACGATACAGGACCTGGAACTGAGGAAAGGTACGCCAACGCAAACCCACCCCAGACGCACAGCATGGCATCCAGTTTCTCGCACTGCGAGATCCCTAGTCTCTGTCCGGAGGGAAGCTCGTTACGGCGAGACGTTGAAATCCACAAGCGAACTAACAGCCAAAAAAAAAAAAACAGAACAAGCCCGCGAAGACGCCCTCGCCGCGCGCCAGGACTCGCAATCCCACTATCGAAGCGAGGTGCGCTCGCACCGCGCGGAGCTGCGGCATATGCAGGAGGAGGTGGCGCCGCGGGCGGAGCCGGGGACGCACGAGCGGCGCATGGAGAAGCGGCAGGAGGCGGCGCAGGCGAACCGGGCGTTCGCGGAGGCGCGCCGCGGCGGGTCGCCGGGGGCCGCGGCGGTGCCGGATGAGGACCTGATGGGGTCCGGGGAGAACGAGCTGGAGGCGATCAAGAAGTCGCGGGAGCGCGAGCAGCGCAAGAAGAATGAGCGGGAGCTGCGGCGCGAGGAGATCATGCGCGCCCGCGCGGCCGAGAGGGAGGAGCGGCTGCAGAAGTATCGCGCGAAAGAGGAGGAGACGATCGGGTGGTTGAAGACGTTGGCGAAGCAGCGGTTTGGGTGATGATTCCTTTCTCCCCCCGCATACGCGCCTTGGATGGGATCCAAAGGAACTGTGAATGAAGGTCCCTCACGGTTCGATTCGGAGATCCACATACAGATTCGCTAGAAATGACAAGAACACTATACTGATACATCCGATTGTGCTATCTAGAGTATATGTATGTATGTACTAGCCCCAGAAAAGCAAAACTCCTTTCCACGTCTATATATCCCTCTCCAAACTTTTGTTTCAAAACCCTCGTCCATATATCCAACAACCCTCACACGAACGCCTCTAGCAAAGTACACACAGACACACCTCTGGCTTCCTCTTTATCCTCTATCCTAATCTTTTCGCCCCAACTCCAAATCAGCAACCAACCTCATCGAGTCCGTCCCATTGACCGCCGCCGTCGCCTCCTCCCCCAGCGCAAAGAACGGCTTGACAGCCACATCGACCGTCTCCTCGAACAGACGCCCCACGACCAGATCCTTCAGCTCCTCGCCGGTCTGGGCGAAATCCGGGTAGGCGTTCAGCTCCAACAGCCAGGCGTTGCCGGTTTGATCGACGAGGAAGTCGACGCCGAACAGCTCGAAGGCATTGGGGAGGGTCTGGAAGTGCACCATCATGCCGCGGGCGGCGGCCTCGAAGACCTCGCCGGTGACGGCGCAGATCTGATCGAAGAGCGTTTCCTTCCAGTCCGGCGCGAGGCCCGGGACGGCCTCTTCCAGCTGCCAGTAGCGGCGGACGCTGCCTTCGTTGGCGCTGCCGCCGTCCTGGAAGCAGGTGTTGGTGAGGTGGCGGGCCAGGTCCGTGACCCCGTCGCCTTGTTTTTCTTCGTCGCTGGGCGCGCAGTAGGGCTTCGCGGCGAACAGGGCCAGCATCTCCCGGAAGACGTAGACCTTCAGCGAGCCAACGGCCAGGACGTAGGTGCGGATGTGGAACTTGCGGTTCGCGGCCGAGGGGAGCAGGAGCGGCGGGTCGATGTACGGCTGCGCGATGAAGTGGCGCAGTTGCGAGGTGACCACGCCGTGATCGTTGTCGTCGTCGTCGTCATCCTCGGGCTTGGTGGGACGCTCCGAGTCACTCCCCTCCTCCTCATCATCTTCCTCCTCGTCATCCGAATCAGGATCCCATTCTTCGAAGATCTCGCGGAGTCCGTCTTCGCTGTTGAACAGCCGGATGCCGTTGCCGCGGTCGCTCATCCCGGCTTTGAGGATCCACCATTCCTTCTCGGACTCCGGTAGGGTCTCGTTGCGTTCGAGGCTCTCGCGGAGCTCGTAGGCCTCTAGGAGGGCGTCATCGAGGAATTCCGCGTAGTCGAGCTCGAAGTCGCAGGCGAACTTGAAGTGCTTGGCCAATACGCTGTCCGGGTGCTTGGTCACCCAGTTCGTGACGGTGTTGGACAGGTAGTGTTTGCGGATCAGCGCCTTGCGGATGATGTAGGCGTTCGCGAGGGACGACGAGGAGTGCATCATGGCGTGCTCGAAATCCAGCCGTTCGTATTCGCGATACTGGAACACAGGAGCGGAGGGAGACGGGAGGTCGGCCAGGGAGGAGATGGTGCGACTTTGGCCGGCGCCGAGGCGACGCTGCAGGGCCTGCTCCATGAGACTCTGGACGTATGGATTGTCGCTGTCCACGATGGTATATAATGTAGGCTCATTATTATCCGGTCTACATGAACATGATCTATCAGAATCCCGGCCGTCCCACGGTATGAAAAGCACTGCAAGTAGAATTGAAAGGGAAGCGAAAGACAAGAACAAAAGAGGAAGGCGCCGAAGGCATAGACTAGCTCTCTCGAATATCTGACAAGCGCGCGCAAGCTCTTCTCTATGATATGTGCAGGTAATGCAGTTCGGGTTGTATAGATTCGGCCGTTCGTCTGCCGCGCAATAAATATCACTCACAGCTTGATCTCCCCTTCGATACCGGGCGTGTGCATGAAATTAGCCTTCAACGGCGTCACACTGCGGTGAGGGGTTAGCAACAGTCGACAAGAGCACGGGACTTAACAACACAAACCTAGTCATTCCCTCCTTCACAACCCACCCGTCATTTCCGGGCGTACCCTCATCCACGCTTCTGTAGACATCCGTGAAATTGGGCGCCCACTCGAAGTGCTTGTGTTGGATGCGAGATCGCTTGATCGAAGGCTTGCTCCCTTCTGCAGCTAGAGCTTTCCCAGCACCCTCGCCTTCTTCCCGCAGCTTGTGCTCATGCGCACTCGGGCCGTCCATCGAGGCAGATGCCTCAACAGCCTTGAAGCAGCTGCCAGACGACCAGCGGTTATCGAGCATCTGGGTGTAGAGAACCTTGGCCTCGCTCACACCAAGCTCCAGAGGTACATTGACACTGTATAGATCGACTCCCTCCGCCCAGTTCTTGTGAAGGTACTCGATCAACCGGACCGAATGCCGCGAAGCCTCCGCGATAACGATGGGATCATGCTGACGCGAGCTGAATGCGTATGACAGAGCGATGGCACGTTTCCCACAGACCGCGGCCTCCATGGCGCCCCCAATCGTTCCGCTGGACATGGCAAAGAGCGCTGTCGAGTTCCGGCCATAGTTCGGCCCAGAAACGACCAGGTCGATCGGACCGCGGTCGTCAAAGTAGTGGTATAGGCCGATCTGCACACAGCTAGCCGGCGTCGAGTCGACAAGGATCCACTCATCGCCGTCGTATTCTTCGTCGTCGCTTTCGTTCATACCGTGGGGCAACTCGTGAGTTGTTCCATCGTCCTTGTGCAAAGTCCCGGGCCGGAAGTAGGTGGGCTTCACCGCTGCTCCGACCAGGTGTGCTTTACCAATCCATGATCGCTGCTGATGCGGTAATACTACCGAAACAGTATGTCCGGCCGATTGCAGCGAGACGACGAGCGAATGGATATACGGCGAAGACTGGTTCGACGGCGGTCCGTCGTCGTTGACAACCTATTGCAGAAAACCCCCGTGAGCCTGGATTGAGATGGATAAAGACTGATGGCGTGCTATAGACAGGATAGCTGATGTGCTTACTAGAATATGCATTGGAGCAAGACCAAAAGTGGCGCGGCGTGAGTTGAGTAGAAGAAGGTGAAGAAGAGGGGCAGAGGGGCAGAGAGGCAGAGGAGATCACGGCAGATTTCCCCGCCTTTTCGTCGTTCCTTGCGAACTGGAACCAAGGCTGGATCCACCTGCCGCTCCGATTTGTCTCGTTATCGATAACTTAACTAATTAACAATTATGGTCATCATGAACTGATTCAATCCAGCTTTGCAGTACATCCCGTTCAAATTGATCAAGCCAAATGTCTGCAGTGGGTATCGACTGATTATTACACAAGCGAATATGGTCATTGCTAGGAGTGTGCCCTGGTGAGATGACTCCGTCGTCGCTGAATCCCTCGTGCATGGGCACTTTCGAGTCCAGTTCCAGTCCCTGAAACATCCGATGACTCTGCGCCACGATCCTCGTCCATATCCCCAATCGAATCGCTCCCCTCATCGTCTAGATCTTCCTCTTTCTTGATCTGCGTACCCCTGATATAAGAAGCTTCGGAAGGAACATCGAATAGAGAGGATGGTTCATCAGTGTCTTCCGACTTGACAAGCACTTCACTGCCACTTTCTGTTTTGACGACGACATCTTTCCCCTCTTCCTTCGGGCGGTGGAAGGCGATGGCCAGCAGAGCCCACACCATCCCCGCAGTCACCATGGAAACGCTCCAGAACATGAAGCCAAAGATGACGAAGGACGTGAGCCTCCAATTGTACATTACCCACCTAAGCCATTGTTAGTCTGAGAATGAATAGTCTAGGCTGCTGGAAAGAAGCGAGCGAAGCATACCGTAGACCAGTGAATGTCGCCTTGAACGTCACCCTAGCCCTGTAAAGATGCATCTTCTCCGCACTATGAATCTCCAGGCGCAAACTGGACGGGACGTTACGTTGCCCACGGGGAAATTGAACCTTCTCTAGCATGCCGACCCGCAACTTCTCTGCTTCTCGATTCCATCCAAGCACGTAGAATGGCATCAACACCAGCTTGTTCGCTGTGTCGACCAGAGGGGAGGCGTAAGTGAGAATAGCAGAGCGGCGCGATTGGGAGAGCAGGGTAGTCGACGTATTCAACCCCGTCTCTGCAGATGTTGAGGGCGGAGAGTAGAGCGCCAGGTCAAGCATGAAATTACCAGCAGCGACATTTGAGGGGGTGCGTGGTAGCTCAAGCTCTACCTGCACATCATACATCTGCAGAGATACCAAATCCGAACCCAAGGACGCGACTCCCCAGGGATGGCCATCACTATGAGCAAGCAAGAAGACAGTCAGCCACGAATACTCCTTCTGGCAGCAAGGCACCCAAAAATCAACTTGAGCCTTGGGTCTTGGACGCACTCGAACTGCATGTGAACAATGCGCTCTAGCCCGACCTGCGGGATGAAGTTGTAATAGAAGATCGCATACGCAAATGCAGAGATGAACACCATGCATATAGCTGTCAGAACAAAAAGCAGAGTGCCCAGGTAGGCTTTTTGGGCCTGCTTAGACAAAAGTGGACGCATTGTCTCTGCCATCGAATTCTAGACAATTGTCGCGTTAGCTGATGCGCCCACGTCAGTAGTTAGATTAATGGGGACATTCTCACCATGGCCCTCGAGACAGCGCCTGTCCCATGCTCTGGCTCCTCGTCTACTACACGCTTAACATCCATAGCTTCAAGTCTGAGAAGTTTGAGGCGAGAAAGGGGTGCATTGATGAGGGGAAAGCATGGAAAGAGCGCGGCGACGTAATCGGGTGACAACCAGGGCGGTGGATGCTTTCCGCCTTGTTTATGGTGGGACAAGCTACATCACAATAAATTCTACGGGAGTAAACATACAAGCAACCAACAACTTTAAAAAGAAAGCTGCACAAGGCATTAAAGTGGTGACTACAGACAGCATGCACACAATAACCCAGAGGATCATAGTTTATATCGCCGCGTATTGTTACAGACCATTGTGAAAAGTAGTTATAAAAAAGAGCATCACCAAAATAAGATAGACAACACAGAGAAGAGAAGGATAGAGGCAGAAAGGGAAAATAATGTAAGTACCATATAGCGTTGAAACATGTTTACAAGTCCTAGAAATGCAACCTCTCCCAGAACCCAACCGAAAAAGCAAATAAATTAAACAAGCAAGCCACCAGATAAAGAAACCCTTTCAAATCATACACCCCAGGAAAGAT